TCTGAGAAGAAATAATGTCTTTCTTATGAGCAGTGAAAATTTATACAGAGGAGAAATTTCAGTTCAGGCTACAATATGAAAAATGATTTCCTCATTTCCCAAAATGTCAGAGAGAGACTTGAAAATGGATAAAGTCCTTTGTTCTAATTACAAGTGAGCCTCTCAGCCACAATTTATTCCTAACCCCAAAATTGAATGGCACAGAGGTCCTGTGACTTTTAAGTGACTGAAGCTAATTTTCCAGAGCTGTGTAATTAGCAGGAATGATATACTCAAACAATTATTATAGAAACTCTCTGATAATAGTGAAAAGCTACAATTGGGGCTGGAAAGGTGGCTCAGTGGTAGAGTGCCTGCCTCACATGCATGAGACCCTGGGTTCGATTCCTCAGCACCATATAAGCAGAAAAAGTAGGAAGTGGCGCTGTGGCTCAAGTGGTAGAGTGCTAGCCTTGAGCTGAAGAGCTGAGGGACAGCGCCCAGGCCCACAGTTCAGTCCCCATGACTGACCGAAAAAAAAGCTACAATTAATGGGCTTTGCATCTATGACAGAACCTAGGATTTGCAAGGAGCTAAATATTAAAGCCCCACAAGGATCATTATGCAGTCGTGGAATAGGCTGCCACCTAGTATTTCATATTCTACTTAACATGATACAAATGGCTAACAAAGCTATGAAAAAGTCCTCAGCTGTCCCTAATTCATATGCATATTCGGGAGGGGGTGTTGGTTTCTGTTTTTTGTTTTGGGAGTTTGATTGAACTCAGGGCCTTGATCTTGCTAAGCAGGTGCTCTATTACTGAGAAGCCCTTGTTTGTATTGGTTATTTTTGAGATAGGGTCTCCATTTTTCCCAGTGCCTGGACCAAAGTCCTCCTACCGTAGCTGAATGACAGGCACATGCCCCTACGCACAGCTTCCGCCTCTAAGATTGAGTCTGGCAGACTCATCTACCTCCATGGCCTGACACCCTGATCCCTCCCATCACAGTGTCTCAGGAAGCTAGAGTGAGATGTATGCCAACGTATCCAGCTGTTGGTTTCTCCCAGACTTTCTGCCCTGAGTGGCCTTTCCAATCTCAGCCTCCCAAGTAGCTGGGATTACAGCACGCGCCACTGTGGCTGGCAATTCATCCAAGTACGGAAAGGTAGTAAAGAAAAGAGAATCCTGATGCACAGTTGGTAAGAATAAATTAGTACAAAAATACAGTAATATTCAAAGTAGAACAGGCGTATGATCCTGAGCATATACCCACAGTGAAACAGTGTGCCAAAGAGACACCAGTGGTCACAAGTTGTTGCAGCACTGTTCACCAAAGCCAAGAAACAGAATCGATCTAAGTACCCTCAACCAATGACTGGGTAAAGAAAGTGTGGGACATAAGTACAATGAAGTATTACTCAGCCGTAAAATGGATGTAATCCTTTCTACAAAACAAACAAAAAACATGAGAAGCTGGATGCCAATGGGTCATAGCTCTAACTCTAGCTATTTGGGAGCAAGAGATTGGGAGGATGTTTGTTTGTTTTCACTAGTCCTGGGGCTTGATCTCAGGGCCTGGGCACCGTCCCTGAGCCTCTCAGTACTCATGGCTAGCACTCTACCACTTGAGCCACCGCTCCACTTCTGTTTTTTTCTGTTTATATGGTACTGAGGAATCGAACCCAGGGCGGGCTTCCTGCATGCTAGACAAGCGCTCTACCATGAAGCCACCTTCCCAGCCCCTGTGAGGATCTTGATCTGAGCTGGCCCAGGCAGTGAGAGGCTCAGCCTCAGACCTGCCATCCCAGTTATGACAGGTAACCACAAACAGGCAGCTCGTGGGCCAGGAGCACACCTAGAGGCAAATGAAACCCTATCTCAAAAATAATCAGCACAGGGGCTGGGAAGGTGACTCAGTGGTAGAGCGCTTGCCTTGCATGCCTGAGGCCCTGGGTTCGATTCCCCAGCACCACATAAACAAAAAGAAAAAAAGCTGGAAGTGGGGCTATGGCTCAAGTGGTAGAGAGCTCGCCTTGAGCTGAAGAGCTGAGGGACAGTGCCCAGGCCCAGAGTTCAGGCCCCACGACCGGACCCAAAAAAAAAATAATAATAATAATCAGCACAAAAAAGAGCTGGATGCATGGCTCAGCAAGAGCAAGGTCCTGAGTTCAAACCACAGTTTCATATATCCTTAAAACTGTAACATATATACAGTGAGAGAGAGAGAAAGAGAGAGAAAAATCTTCATGGATATGACAACACAGTTACATCCATTAGACAAGAATATCTGTAATTATGAATGAAAATTCCCCAAAATTGCTTCAAAATGTCACGATTGTATAATAAAGAAAAAAAAACTCTAACTCATTTCACTACTCAGTTTAATTGTATCCCACCAAGGAAAACTAAAAAGGAACTCCACATATTTGTACCAGAAGAAAAATTTCTCCAAACATGTACATTAATCAAGGGCAATGCTGGTAGCTGTAATTTTTATCCTGTGGCTAATCCAAAACTCAATAAAAACGTAATTGAAGTTCCTGGTATATACAAAACTCAATGATAGAATGGTGCCCCCAAGTGGTAATATGAATAAACTGCAATATTCAGGTGCAAGAGTTAGAACACACACACACACACACACACACACACACACACACACACACACACACACACACACAGTTATTACCTTTGACAATTTTTTTTACTAAGTCTATAAATGATGAACCTGTATGTCATAAGAGTCACTAATAACTGTCCTACATCCCAGCTCAGATTCATAGTGTACCCAAGTCAGCCCTTTAATATTAGCTGGGTGCCAGTGGCTCACACCTGTAATCCTAGCTATTGGGGAGGCTGAGATCTGAGGATCACAGTTCAAAGCCAGCCTGGGAAGGAAAGTCTGTGAGACTCTTATCTCCAATTAATCACAGAAAAATCCAGAAGTGGCTCTGTGGCTCACGTGATAGAGTGCTAGCCTTGAGTACAAAGAAGCTCAAGGACAGTGCCCAGGCCCAAAGCTCAAGCCCCAGGACTGGCAAAAAAAAAAAAATTAAAATTAAAATAAATTAACATTAACACCAGGAATCATCTAACAGGTAAGGAAGGGAACTCCTTCTTTATCAGTTCAAGGCTTGGGTGTATGTCTCCAAACCAATAAAAGGATCTGACCCACTCTGATCTATTAAGAAAATGCACTCAGCCATGAGCAAATGGCTTACACTTATCATCCTAGCTACTCAGGAGGCTAAGCTCTGAGGATCAGGGTTTGAAGTCAGCACCTGAAAATCAGAAATGATGTTGTAGCCCACAGTGGTAGAATACTAGCCTTGAGGGAAAAAGCTCAGAGAAAGCATTCAGGCCCTGAGTTCAAGCCCCAGGACTGACAAAAACAAAGAAAACGCACTCACAACATTATATAAATCTTTTTTTTTAGCAAGTATTCATCTTTTGCCCACTTTAGTATTAACTAATTCCCTGTTTGTAGCTTAACATTCTATCTAACCAAATTAGGTTGGATCATAAGTGGTGCTAATAATGTGGTTTATTCAAATACTAAAGGTTCAGCCATTGACACTTGGAGAGGAGGAAAAACTTAAAAAGTAATAACATGTTAAATCTAACAATTACTGGTGAGTTGTGTCTGGCCCAGCTAAAAGAATTCACATTCTGAATATCAATTTCTTTCCATCAGCATTAAGAAATCAAAGGACAGATGACAATGGCACTGTCAGTCTCAAGAATGATCACTGAAGAAGTTTTAAATCACAAACCTGCTATCCAATTACTCTGCTTGAGAAATTGTTTTTCTCTATTAAATAACAGAATGTAGAAGAAAAACTTTAATCTAGAGGAGAGTTTCCACTGCAATCACTGGATGGTCACTTCTTTTTCGTCTCTTTTCCTGGGTGTGCGCACATGCTGGGATGAAGGCCTGAACACTGGCTGTTAGCTTTTTCACTCAAGGGTGATGTTCCTCTACTTGAACCACTGCTTCTGACTATAGATTCTGAAAATCCCTTCCACAGAAAAAGCAAAGAAACGGGTTGGAGGCGTGGCTCAATTGGTAGAGCACTAGCCAATGAGCGAAAACATCAGGTACCAAGTTCAATTTCAAGTCTGGGTGGGGGGAGGCAAAGAAAATTAATGCCACATTCCTTTCAATATACACCATTTACCTCCAATGTGAATTACTGTTTATTTTATCACATTTGTTAAAAAAACAAACAAACAAGTCTTTTCTCATTCAGGACGTTCCAATCAAGTGAGTGGAAAAGAATCTTGTAATTGAGACTGTGGGATATATGCGAATGCAAATTTTATTTTCATATAATCTAGAGCATTTTGCTTTTGCTATGTGATTTGGATATTTTATTCACAGCTGAAATGCTTGTTTTTCTTTTTTGTCCGTTGTGGGGCCTGAACTCTGGGCCTTGGTGCTGTCCTTCAGCTCTTCAGCTCAAGGTGAGCACTCTACCACTTGAGCCACAGCACCACTTCCAGCTTTTTCTGCTTATATGGTGCTGAGGAATCAAACCCAGGGCCTAGTGCATACAAGGCAAGCGCTCTACCCCTGAGCCACCTTCCCAGCCCAGCTGAAATGCTTTTAAAAAAAAAAAACTTTTAAAAGCATCTCAAGTTTTAAATGGGTGTGTAGTTCAGTTGTATAGCACTTGCCTGATATACCTGCCACCCTGGAGGTAACAAGATCCTCTCTCCATCCCTCCCTCCCTTTTTCTTTCTTTCCCTCCCTCCCCCCCCACACACACTCAAACACACCTTATTCATAAAGATCAATGAACTTTTCTATCTATGGTAGCTTTTACAGGAAGTGTGGCTCCAGTGGTAGAGCGCCTGCCTAGCCAAGTACGAAGTCCCTGAGTTCAACTCCAGTACCACTAATAAACACCATGACCAGTACTCTGTATCCACTAATAAACACCATGGCCAGTACTCTGTATCCTGATCGGCCTGTAGCTGCACATAAACTCGAGGTCTGTAGGAGGCATATTTACTTACAGTTCCTCTCCTCGCTTGGCCTTCTTGTCTGAAACCAGATAGACAGTTCCGAAGCTCCCACTGCCCAGTTTCCCTTGAAGTATGTATCTTCTGGCAATTAAGGCCTGTGGATGAACGGGAACATCTGCTGATCCATTCCCACACTTAGCAGTCTCTTGGAACTTCAGCATTGCTGAAATGTTATTCACTCATGTAAATTTGTCATCCAGGTCTCCGATGCTCAAATTCATCCAAGAACACCTGAAACCAGAAAAGTCCATAAGATCAGGTTTAAAAGATGCTACAAAGCGGGCGCTGGTGGCTCAAGCCTGTAATCCTAGCTACTCAGGAGGCTGAGATCTGAGGATCGCGGTTCAAAGCCAGCCCAAGCAGGAGAGACGGTGAGACTCCTATCTCCAATAAACTACCAGAAAACCGGAAGTGGCACTGCAGCTCAAGTGGTAGAGCGCTCGCCTTGAGCTGAAGAGCTGAGGGACAGCGCCCAGGCCCAGAGTTCAAGCCCCACGACCGACAAAAAAATAAATAAATAAATAAATAAATAAAAGATGCTACAAGATTCCTAACACGGGAGGGGTGCTGATGGCTCAGACCTGTCTTCCCAGCTATTTAGGAGGTTGAGCTCTGAAGATCATGGCTTGAAAGCCAGCACAGGCAAGAAAGACTGATGAGAATTTTTTTTCTGCCAGTCCTGGGACTTGAACTCAGAGCCTGGGCACTGTCCCTGAGATTCTTATACTCAAGGCTAGCCTTCTACTATTTGAGCCACAGCACTACTTCCAGCCTTTTCTGTTTATATGGTACTAAGGAATGGAACCGAAGACTTCATGCATGGTAGGCAAGCACTCTACCACTGAGCCACCTTCCCAGCCCCTTATGAGACATTTATCTTCAATAAACCACCAAAAAAAGTGGAGCTGTGGCTCCAGTGGTAGAATGGTGCCTTGAGCAGGAAAAAACGAGTACAGAGTACAGAGCCCAGAGTTCAAGCCCCACCACTGGAGCAAGAAAAAAAGAAATGTAAATTAATGGTTTGTTTTTTAATGACCTGAAGAGAAGAATCATGTGGAGATTCCACATGATATATATATCCAAATTTGTATAAACTGAGTTATAACCATATTTCCACAAACTTCAGGGATAAATATGCTTTTATAATGAATAGCCTGTTTAAGATTTATACTCCCTACTAACTCTTAAAAAATGTGTGCATGCGTGCACACACACACGCGTGCTATAGCCCTGACTTTTTCAACTTGGCACTCTACCACGTGAGCCACAGATCCACTTTCAGCTTTTTGGTGATTATAGAACATTCTCATGGACTTTCTTGCCTGGGCTGGCTTCAAACCAGAATCTTTACATCCTCAAATCTGAGTCTTCTGAGTAGCTAGGATGATAGGCAGGAAGTCTGGTGATGTATCTACATTTTTTGCTTTTGTTTTGCTTTGGTGGTGGTGGTGATTATGGGGCTTGAATTCTGAGCCTGGGCCCTATCCCTGAGATCTTCAGCTCAAGTCTAGTGCTCTACCATTTGAGCCACAATGCCACTTCCAGTTTTCTGACGGTTCATTGGAGATAAGAATCTCACAGACTTTCATGCCCTGAGCTGGCTTCAAACAGCGATCCTCAGATCTCAGCCTCCTGAGTAGGATTACAGGTGTGAGCCACCGGTACCCAGCTCTGTATCTACATTTTTTTTGTAATGCACTTTATGTCTAGTCTGGCTTACAAAGAGTGAGTTGAAAGCCAAACAAAGTAGAATGGTGGCTAGTTTTCCTCAGACTTTTAAATGAGTGTTTGCATTTATTAGGATAGAGATAAGGATGCAACTTCAGAGTGAATACTTTACCATTCAGGGCAAATTCTGATCTAGTTTCTGCAGTTTTTCTTATACAATGGAGTAGAGAGTAATCTCCCTGGATTAGAAGTAACACAATGCAATTCCAACCGAAAATTGCATTTTAATGTTAGCTGAATATATATGTATTAGAGGAAAATAGTAATTCCTCGAGGAGTTAAAAAATTCATGGCCGAGTTATGAAAAGCAGAAATATGTCATATGAGGTTTACAGTAAAAACCATTTTTGCTTTGTAAAAATGTGCAAGGCGTTCTTGGAGTGATTTTGTTCTAGATCTACAGGAAAAGATGTTTTTCAATTGAAGACCACCTGTGCCTTGGTGTTAGACTTCCATATTCAACAATTCTACAGCAGTGAGACAAGGTATTGTTTATGTCATGTCAGCTAACCACCAAAAAGCCACCACAAAAATTCCCAAAGCAGCTAGCTGCTGCTTCATGCCTATATGGGGAGGCAGAAATCAGGAGGACTGCTGTTCCACACCAGCCTTGGCAACAACAAACCAACCAACCATGAAAACCACCAGGAAGATCACAGTTTAGGGCTGGCCTAGGCAAAAAGTGTGGCCCTATCTTAAAAATGGCAAGACTCAAGAGCCTCAAGCAGTACAGCATCTATCTAGAAAACTCCAGTACCAAAATCATCATCATCATTATCATCATCATCATCACCATCATCATCAACATCATCTCAAAATAGGCCAGGGATGGTATCAGACACCTATAAGTAAGTACAGGGAAGTCTAAATAGGAAGATCATGATTTGACTCCCTCTTGAAATAAAAACCAATAAAAGTCTGTGGGTGTGGCTCACACTGTAGAGCACCCACCTGGCCAGCACCAGCCCTAAGTTCTAATAAGTGGATGGACACAGCCAGGCCCTGAGTTAAAAGCCCAGAACCACTAAAACAATAATAATAACAATCAGTTAATTTTCATCAGATGCCAATGAAATAACCCACCCTCAAGAAATGTTAGTAAAATCTACCAAAAAAATCAAAACAAAAACAAAAACACAGGCTTCTAAATGAACACTTTTTTCTTTTCTTTTTGGTGCTATCAGAACCTCATACTGGCTAGGCAATTACCTGTGCTTTCCTGCTCAAGGCTAGCATTCATCACTTTGGGCCACAGATCCACTTCTGGTTTTCTGGTGGTTCAATGGAGATTTTTTGCCTGGGCTGGCTTTGACCTACGAACCTCAGATCTCAGCCTCTTGAGTAGCTAGGATTACAGGCTTGAGCCATTAGCACCCAACACTCTACTTGTACTTTTTTTCCTTTAATTGTAAAGGTGATATATAGAGGGGTTAGTTACATAAGATAATAAGTACATTTCTTGTTGAACATAGTTTCCCCTTCCCTCATTTTTCTGCCACTTTCCCTCCCCTGTGACTTCCCATCCCCAAGTTGTAAAGTTCATTTCCAACATAGTGTCTTGTATTGCACTGGTATTGCAATTGCAATCTCACCATTATGTCATTCCCCTTCCCTTCCCCAAATCAGACACAGAGTACCAAAATCAAAAACAGTGACAATAGGGGATAAACCACAAGTTGGAGGTGTGTGGGAGGAAACAAAAGAAAAAGAAATAGTGTCACACAGTACATTAAAAACAAAACCACCAAAAAAAAAAAACCCCTCTTATATTTGGGCTGGGAATGTGGCTTAGTGGTATAGTGCTTGCCTAGCACATATGAAGCCCTGGGTTAGATTCCTCAGTACCACATACACAAGAAAAGCCAGAAGTGGCGCTGTGGCTCAAGTTGAAGAATACTAGTCTTGAGCAAAAAAAGTAGCTTAGGGACAGCGCCCAGGCCCTGAGTTCAAGCCCCAGGACTGGAAAACAAAACAACACAAAAGCCTCTCATTTTCATATCTTGGAGTTCATTTCGATTAGTATCATTTCCTATATTCATACCTACATTAGTTTCTTCACTGTCACAAAAGTGATGCTCTCTGGACTGACAGCCTCTTCCATTGAAGGAAGCCCTTTGGATCCTGCCATCATTTTTGTTTTGGATGGAGATTAAGGTCCTTGTTTAGCCACAGACAGGATTGGAGATGGACAGAACAGTTATGGGAAGTCCAGAGCCCCCAGGGGTCTTGTTCATAAAAGAGAGTGTAGACCCACAGCTGTGCTGGGATGTTTGGTTGGCTCTGGGCTGAAGAGGTCTCTGGTCCCGTCTCATATACTCAGCCCTGCCACTTCCATCTTAGTCCTTGCACCAAAGGAACCGGGGCATGGCTCAAGTGGTGAGCACTTGCCTAGCGAGTGCAAAGCCCTGAGTTCAATCCCCTCCAAAAAAAAAAAAATCATGAATTATCATAGAACTACCCAGGAAAGGACCCTCTCCCACTATCTAAGTGCCAGAGCTACCAGTTCGCTTGTAAACACCACCCTCCCCTCAAGGAGGGTTGTGAATGTTAAGGGGCGCACTCTCTCTGTCTTTGTACCCCAGGAGTCTGGCCACAACGGCCTGCAAGTGCCAAGTGTCCAGGAAGCACTGTGAGGACAGGTAACTATCTAGCAGTCCTTCTGCCACGGAGGGGGAAAAGAAAAGGGAAAAAAGGAGGATGGTACCTTGGAGAGGAGGAGGAGGAGGGAGGCGGAGGAAGAGGAGCAGGAGGAAAAGGTGGAGGAAGAAAGAAAGAAGAGCTGGGCACCAGTGGCTCCTGCCTGCCATCCTAGCTACTCAGAAGCATGAGATCTGAGGATCACGGTTCAAAATCAGGCTGGAAGGACAAAGTTGGTGAGACTCATCTCCACTGAACCACCAGAAAACCCAAAGTTGCGCTGTAGAGCTCAAGTGGTAGAGCCCTAGCCTTGAGCTGAAAAGCCGAGGGACAGCGCCCAGGCCCAGAGTTCAAGCCCCATGAGCCACAAAAAAGGAGGAGGAGGAGGAGGAGGAGGGAAGGAAGGAAGAAGGAAGAGCCAGTCTGTAATCCTTGCTACTCAGGAGACTGAGATCTGAGGATCACAGTTCTAAACTGGCCCAAGGGGGTGGGGAGGGGGGAGGAAAGTCTGTAAAACTCTTATCTGCTCTTACCCACCAAAAAAAAAAGCCACAAGTGGTGCTGTTGTTCAAGTGATAAACACACACACACATACAAAGCTCCAGGACAGTGAGTGCCCGGGCCCTAAGTTCAAGCCTCAGGACTCGAGCAAAAAAAAAAAAAAAGGAGAGGAGAGAGGGCAGGAGTAGGAGAGGAGGGAAGGGAAGAGGAGGAGCAGGAGAGGCCAGGGGACAGGAGGAGAGTAGGAAAGCAGGAGAGGGGAGGGGAGGAGATGGGAGGGGAGGACAGGAGAGGGGAGGAAAGGACAGGAGAGGGGAGGGGAGGGGAAGGTAGGAGAATGGAAAAGCAGGAGAGAGGGGAAGGGAGGAGAATAGGAAAGTAAGAGAGA